ACACACACACACACACACACACACACACACACACACACACACACACAGAGTAAGAAAAGAAAAAGAGAGGAAAGAAGACAAAAGTAGACTTTGAATCTAGGTAATATTATTATCTGTTAGTTTTGTAGCTTTTCCCTTGGTTCAAATACACAAACAAATAAATTCTTTGTTTCCCACCATTAGGGCAATGTGGTGGCTTTTTGTTGGGGATCTAGTTTGGAATTTCCCTCTTGTGTTCCTTGGGATCTCTTTGGGAAAATGGGGATTACAATCATAACACTGCTTTAAGGCACCACAGAGGCTATCTGATTCAGCTTTCTCATCTTATGCATTAAAAACAAAACAAAAAACACCTAAGGATTGCCCAAGTTACAGCAGAGTTTGACTGTTTAAATTTAGGCCTCTGGACTGTATATCAGAAATTCCCTTTCCATTACATCACCCTGATCCTCAGAGAGAAAATAATGATTGTGTTAGTATGCTATGGAGAATATGCTTTCATTGAAAACAGGATGTAGGTAAATAACTCCTACATATTTAAATATTTTCTCTGATTTAGTACCGAAGTATTAAAGCACCTGGTTAAAAATACATGTTTAAAATCAAGATGCAAATACATTGTAAATGGCAGATTGCCTAGATATATATCTTGTCCTTAAAGACTTATTATAGTTTTGTACTTAAGAGTTTTAAACTGCACTAAGACTTTTGGTACAGCCTGTATCTCATTCTATTTGCTTTTTGGAGGCATGGTACACAGATGACTTTTTTTTTAACTTCTTGTTGCTGTTATTATTAAGTATTGATTTTGTTTCTTCCTCCTTTCAGGGAAGAGCCTGGATCAGAGTAGCACTCATGGAAAAACATTTATCCGAATATATCTCCACAGCTCTGAGAGACTTCAAAACAACCAGGTTTATAAAAGCCCCCCCTTTTTTATCATTTTGACAATTTTTTGTAGGTATAACATGAAGACTTAGCTTTAGGAATGGATTTAAGAGTTTTATTTGGTTTCTGTGATCCCAGACTGCTTTATTCTCCCTGTTTTCATACTTCCCCAATAGGTTCCTTCCTCTGCTCTCAGGAAAATGTGATTCCCTTTGGAGATACGTTTCTGTCTCTGAACATTTTCTCAGGCTGTACCTTATGCTTGGAATGCTCTCCCTCTAGGTTCACCAAAATCATTCTCTTTGTTCAAACTGTTATTCATGAAGCTTTCCCTGATCAGTTTCCAGAGAGGTATAGTAAATTCCCTCCTTGTGTACAATTCCCATCTTTTCTTCTACACCACATCTCACAGTATGTGCTCACTTTTCTGCTTCTACCCAATGTTAATGCATCATTTAAAAAAATTGTAACTAATTTACTTATTTAATTCTTGTGCAGTTATTGTTTCCTCCTGATGTTTTCTGCATCAGTGTTGTCTCTTCTAAACTTGCAGAGGTCAGGGACTATGTTTAATTAACATAGTACAAAGGCTCATTCTGTGTGCAAGGTAAAGACAGGTGTTTTATATACATAGAATATGTATATATATATGTGTGTATATATATATATATATATACACACACACATACATACATATATATATATATATTAGGGTAGCACTTATGTGGTTAGTCTTTTGGGTCCCAGCTAGTCTTTTTAAGGACTGACTCACTGGACTCTGTGTTAAATACTGAAGAATTTTGACTTTCCTCCTTTCTTATTGGAGAGAACAACACAAAAATGCACAAAATAGAAAATACACAAAAACACACGCTACATACACTAAGTACACAAAAAACCCACAAAAATCAAGAATACGAAATAGGAGTTGTAAAAAAATGTAAAACCCTATTGCTATCTTAAGTGGAGTACCCTTCTTGTAAGTTATTGCACTGATGATGGTATTTATTATCAATGTCCTGAGATATTGGTTTTAATAAAGAAAAAATGGCAGCGTGAAGAAATGGAAGCTTTCCTAGTGCCTTAAAGCAGAAACTGGACACTAAACTCCAGTGTCTTGGCTCCCAGTCTTTGCAAGACCCTTTTTGGAGGAGGCTGCCGTGTTTGATGTTCTAGAACAGCTTGGGATAAGCAGCTTCTAGATGCTAGGAAGGGTTATTCTTTGGGTCATCCCAGATTTGGTTTCTTTTCCTTTGGGGGCACATACTTTGAGGTACTATGGTTGTGAGACTCTTGACTTGCTGTAAAGCTAGGAAGAAACTCTTTAATATATCTTATATTTTTTCAGTTAAAAAAAAGAGAGTTGAGACTTCAAGAAAGCTAAGTGTGGGAAATAATTACTATTTTGATTTTACTAAAGTCATTAAAACCAATGTTTTTAACCTAGGATATTTCCAAGGATAGATTGTAGATAAAATGACACCTTTACAGAAAATGGTCTTGGAGATTTACTTATATTTTTCTCTTATATAAAATATTTGGATTTAAAGATTATTTTATCAATCATTACTAATAATTAAGTTGAATTAGTAAATTTAAATATCAAAATAAATAGTTTTGAGAATCCTTAACCCTTGGGTTCCATGGACACATTTCATGGGGTCTGTGAACTTGGATGGGAAAAACAATTACATCTTTTATTTCCACTGACCTCTAACTGAAAGTCAGGATTTCCTTCAATTATTTTAAAACATGATTCTGAAAAAGGGTCCTGTGGCTTCACCAGACTGCCAAAGAGGGCCACAACATACAGTTGAGAAGTCCTTTTTTAGACTCTAGATTTGGAAAATGCCAAACCAAGGATTTTAGTATAATTAAAACAAAATTAAATTTTATCTCCATATATAAATATATACACACATAGATGCTTATTGATTCTATCACATGAATTTTAAGGGCATAATTTTTACCATAAAGTATCCAGTAATGTATTGGGCATAAGTCGATATTCATAACCTCTACCTTGGTTTAAGGGATTGGGCTGAGTGAAAATATTGTTCAAATAGGATATTTTTGGAAGCAGTCTTTTAAATATTTACAGGGAAATGCTTGTTGCCCTGCTCTGAGGTGTTAGCCTTCCTTTTTGTTGTAAAGGAAATGATTTAGCTGCTTTCTTATATGCTGTTCAAAGAAAACTTTCTAGGCATTTTTTGCATCTATATTAACCAGTATTTTATTTCTGGAAGGTGGTCTGGAATTTTAGTTTTATTGAGCCAGGTGTTGTCTTTCAAGGGGAGATTGTTTTCCCACAGAAATGGCTCATTGACGTAGAGGAGAGATGAGTAGATGAACAGTTGTATCGGCCCCCCACTCCCCTGAGCTGTACAATTGAAAACAAAATAAAAGCCAGAAGGCTCATTATGGCTTTTGTTTCAAACTGAAGCATTCCTCCAGAAGCCAAACTAAATAATGCCTTGATTATAAATTGTTTTGACTGAAAAAAAAAAAACCACTACCAAAAAGAAAAAGAAAACACTTAGAAAAATGACTTTGACAAATGCCGAACATAAAACACAATATTGGAAATAGTTGTAATCCTTACCTTTGCCTTGGCTGTAGCCCCACCAATAAAAGCTGTGTAGACAGAGGTGACAAACAGCACTGGCCTTCTAGCCTGGGAGCACCTAAATCAAGTGGATTTCTTCTTGTTCTGCCCTTCACAGATAAAGAGTAATGAAATCCTAAAAAGTGGTGATCCAGGAGTTCACCCCAGTGCAGGAGGAGGAGCTTCATGAGCCAAGGTGGGCAAGCTGGAAAGCGCTGACCAGTGAGAATCCTAGGATGGGCTAGGAAGGGAGGGGATAAAGTAAGGCTCCTTCTTGGAAAGCCCCATACATGCCTGTTGCTGCAGAGCAGCAGAGAAGTTCAGTGGACCTCTTTGCTAGGATGGAGCTGATCATGGTGAGGAAATGTAATAAAATCTCAAGGAGTTTCATTTGGGGAGGGTGGGGTTTGCTTGGCTTGGGCTGCCATTGGAAAATGGGCACAGCTGGTAGTTGACAAGGAGAGTTAGAACCTGAAGCTGAAAAAAATGGGGAATTGTATATTGGTAGGTATCAGGAAAGAACAGTGGGCCTTCAAGGGACCAGTTTTCTGAAAGCAAAGGTTTGTCCAGGTCACCCCCTTACTCATCAAACTCCAGCAGCTCCCTGTTGTCTCTATGAACATGTGTAAATTCCACCATTTGGCATTCAAATCCTTGGAACAACCTGTTCTCCTCCTATCTTTTCAGCCTTCTTCAACATTATTTCCCTTCCCACACTTTACAGGCCAGCCACAAGGGTCTTCTTGCTGTTCCTTAAACATGGCACCCAGGCAATCAACAAGAATTTATTAAACCCCCACTATATCCCAGGTGTTCTGCTACTTGATGGGGGATGCAGAGATGAAAGCACTCAGGGATCTTATATTTTATTTATATTTATATTTATATTTATATTTACATTTTAGCCTAGATTCCTGGTTTCTTTAAAGACTCCACTCACAAGCTGCCTTCTCTATGAAACTTTCTAGGTCCCTCTAGGTCTCCCATTAAAGTTAAGTTATATCTATTTTATATACTTTTAAGTATGTACATATTGTCTCACTTGTTAGAATGTAAGGTCCTACCAGAAGAACAATTTATACAATAACAGCAACATTGTAAAGGCAAACAACTTTGAAAGATTTAAAAACTCTGATCAACACAATGCCCAACCACATTTCCAAAGTACTGATGATGAAGCAGGCTACCCATCTCTAGAGAGAAAGATGAGGCACTCAGTGGATACAGAATGAGCCATACATTTTTCAACATGGTCAATGTAGGAATTCATTTTGCTGAGACTGTCCGTGTTTGTTACAAGAATTTTGTTTTTATTTTCCAGTGAAGGAAGAAGTGAGAAGATTTAAGAAATACTTGTTAATTAGGTGAAAAAAGTAAAATAAAAGTTACATTGAAAATATAAGCTCTTTGGGGGTAGGTACTGTGTCCTTTCATTTTTGTATCTGTAGCCTTTAGCACAGTATCTGACACGTAAGTGCTTAACACATGCTTGTTGATTGATTGAGTTATATTCTGAGAAGTTAAATTGTGGAAATAAATGAGAAGTTGAACTCTTTCCCTCTCCACCCACTCCCCCAAGTACATCATAACTCATTCCTCCTTCCCCCGCCCCTCACTGACTGACAAATTAGTTAGAGATTAAAGTTGGAGGAGAATCCAAAATATTGGAAATTTTAAAATAGATTGGAGAAGTTTTCCATAAAAATTTAGATGAATAAACATGAGACAGATATATTATAGCTATAAGGTAATAACATTTGGTTATTTTGTAGGTTTATGGCCATCCATCCTTCTAATTTACTTTGTTAATTATGATAAGTACATACTGTCTAAAAATGAACAAGTGTTTATTTTCAAGGAGTATATGACTTTTTCCAAGTACTTATATTAGGGACAAAGGGAGGAGAATTTAACTGTAATACCAGAATTTGTTGAGTTGTTATGGAAAAAAAATTAGTTCATTCATGCCATTTATAGTTATGGTAAAATAGAATAGAAACAAATCACCAAAATGTTTCACTAACTAAAAGAACTCTTGTGGTCTGTAGTTGCATAAAAGTATTCTTATATTTGAGATACAACATTAAAAAGGAATCTGTGTAGGTTTATGAAAGTTAGTCATGGAATGATATTTTTTGGTTTGTTTTGCATGTGTGATTTTTGGGTTTGGTGTTTTTTGTTCTGTTTTGTTTTTTGGTATAAGGAATGCCTACTGAAGAAACTCCCTCTACCAATGTAGATTGGAAATTATTTTATAAATTATAATCTTAGAGAGTTATCTAGGGGCACTGAGAATGTAAGCGATTTACCCACAGTCATATAATTTGTATCTATGAGGCAGGCCTTGAATGCAGGCCTTTGAGGCCAGCTCTGTACTCTATTTACCACACTTGACTTCTTTTCAAGGAATAAAGGAGATAA